ACTATAAACTATATTAAGTGTATAATGATGTTTATAACATTATAATATTGCAGCAATTTAATCTCAATCAGACAAATCAAAATTTGTTCAATCATAATAAAGCTTAATTATGAGTAGATTCCGAGGGAGTTGATTGAATAAATCAATAATTCGTTTGCGTCAATATTCAATTCAATTCAATGTGTCAATATATCACTTGTGGTATTAAAGTAAGCGATATAGCTTTAACATATTAGAATATACAATTAAATTAAACTAAGTTTTGAACTAATGGCCTATTATATAATATAAAGACTCAACTTTCTTCTAATAAAAAGATGTGAAAAGCTTTTGCGAATTGAAAAGTAATTCAGAAATATCTTCTTGGCAACAATGTCTAACTTTAACCGATTTGATATTTTCGAATATGAATAAATTTGCAGTTCCAATTTTAAAGTAGTTTTACTTAATTTCAATACGATCACGGGTAAGCATATTAAGACTTCGGTTTTGGAATGTTAACATTTTATTGTCTTGTTCTTGTTCTTGTTGAGGATTCGATGTGCGCAGCTGTTTCTTAGTGAGATGCTGCAAATTGCTTGGCTGCTTGTTGGTGTTATTGTTGCCATTGTTTTAGTCAACATTTTGTGGTTAAATGTGCCTGTACGTGTGTGTGTGTGAGTGTGAGTGTGTGTGCAACAGTTTCTTGCTGGCCGCACGAAAGTAGGCAATGCTTTTGCGTTTGTATCGAACAGGAAATTTAATTAAAAGCGCTTTGTTGGCGATTTCAAATGCAGGAAATATGGTCGTAAGTAGTCGGGACCACAACTTACAGCTACTGCCACTGGTTACCGTTACTGCTAACTTTTTTTACTGCCACTGCCAGTGCCAGTGCCGCAACCCTCTCGACCGCGCTAACGAACTGTGACTGTAATCGCCGCACTGCTGCACTTGACTTTAGTACATTTGGCTCTCGAATGGCCGTTGTGATTTTTAGCCGACATTTTTGGCCGCCTCATGAGAAACTTGCCAGCTGCTGCTGCTGCTGCTGCCGACCCAGACTTGTGTTGATTGCTCCAGAACAATCGCATTGGCATTTGTCTGGCACAAACGTAACCCTGATTCCCTGATTGCGATCCTTGCACCAGCTCCATTTGAAAATGTATTGATTTTGAGCGCTAATTACCGACAGTTGGGTGTAAGGTTGAGTGTGTGTCAGCGTGTATATACCATTGTATAGGGTCAGCCAGGCATCGCCTGTGTTTCGTAATTGTAGATGTCAGATAAGATTGGTTCAGTGTCGGGCGCAGGCAACGCACGACTTTGCGGGCTGGCTCGACTGGTCTCCAATGTAACCTGAAAGGCTTGTGGATTTGAATGTGTGTAAAGCTTGCAAATTATGGTCAAAGTGTGTATATCAACGAAGTTTTCCCACTGAAAAGTTCCACAGAATATCAAAGTTTTCTCAGCAAAACTTTTGATCAACCGCCATGTCAATACTTTCGTCTAAGTCCCTTTGGTGTACAGATTCGACCAGTTCGTATAAAGAAAAATCTCTAACAAAAGCAAGCTACAAGCCGATTTCTACCGAATCGAAATATTTTTTAAAAACTATTTTCGACTGAACGTGTACTGGATAATTTGGACGAAAAGCAGCCAACCTTTTAAAATATAATTTAATAATTTTTGATATTTTTATACCCTGGACCCATTGAAAATGGGTAAAAAGGGTATAATGTATTTGTGCAAATGTATGTAACAGGCAGAAGGAAGCATCTCCGACCCCAAAAAGTATATATATTCTTGATCAGCATCAACAGCCGAGTCGATCTAGCCATGTCCTTCTGTCTCTCCGTCTGTCCGTCCGTCCGTCTGTCCGTCCGTCCGTATGTATAAACGCAAGGATCTCAGAACCTATAAGCGCTAGAGACTTGAAATCTTAGCTGTAGGTCCTCCTAGTGCCTTCGCAGATCGAGTTGGCTTCCGATATTCGATAACTTGCCCCGCTTCCAAGTAATCGATAAAAATCGATTTCGAAATCCTGTTTTTGAGCAATTTTGGTAAATGATATGAGCTAGAGTCACCAAACTTGACAGTAGAATAGTATATATATACATATATCAAGTATCTTTCATTTTATACCTATCGCCTGTTGGAAAAATGCTGTACATAAAATTAATTGAAATAAATTGATTGAAATAAAAGATATGACGAGGCTGCGAGCCGCTTTTTACCCAAATTTCATTGTTTTCTGTTTTCTGTATTTATTTCAATGCCAACATTATTACTGTCCATGTGATATTTAAAAAAAAAACTACCATGTTTATTATGTATAATGGTTTCGCAGCCGACTTTGTTGTTGCACGCAACTATAAACTGTGAACAGACTTTATTTAAATTTCATAAAAATGAAATGGATTCTTTTTGGTATTCTTAAAAAGTTTAACACAAGCACAATGCTAGAGGCCAGCATCGGGCGTGCGTGCAAAAACACGGAATGATAGCAAGAAAGGTAAAAACCCTAAATGAAAACTCCCGTCTTGAATATATTGTTAATTAAATGTAGTATCAGGCAATGATGTGAATAGTAAGTGAACACAAAAAAACAGATTCTTAAATAAAAATCGAATTTTAACAATCAATACGAATGCGGATCTGCAAAGCCAGCTGAACAATATTTTGTTCTCTACCTTCGCTAATGCAACGAATAATAAAAAAAACCGCTTTTGCCTTTTGGCAAATCGAGCAGACTCTGTAAACCATTAGAGACTAGGTCTGCCTTCAGCTTCAACTTCAGCTCCTGAGTCGCGCCCATGCCATGGCAAGTAATCTTTGATTTTGCATGAGCTGATTCTATGGGGCAGGTCCGGACATCATGCTGCGGCCAGCATTGGGGCACTGCAGCTGTATAAATTTTACATTTGTTTCCTTTCAATTTAACAATGTGTACTTTTCGTATTGTTTTCCTTTAGAGCGCAGCTAGTGAAGCAGGGCGTTTTGGGGGCTGGCTGGCAACCATTTTTCACGCGACCCGAGCGTTGGCTGAATGCTCACTTCATCGCCTGATTTCGCAATATTTATGATTAGCAATTTATTATTCATCATTTTCGAGTGCGCAAACAAAACGCGCCAACTCAAGCAGCCGAGAAAAATCGAATGATGTTCTGCAATAATTCTTGGAGCTAAGGGTAGACTTGAACGTGGCAATGTGATGGGCGGCGGGGCGATCCGTGCTGGGGGCGGGGCGGGCCTTGTACCGCCATTAACTTGCACTTAATTTGATTAACCGAAAGCCGATGTTTACATGCGCTGCATGCCAGCATATCTATCAAAAATGAGGCGAATACTTGTATTACTTTGGCGCATAATGGGCTCCCAAACCTGAAGACTATGTCTCTGAGATTCGCAGGGATTGCGACTGGATGGGCACAATTGATGGCTGCAGTGGCTGCTTTGAACTTAAGCAGCAAGCTTAGTGGGTGATTTGTGTAAATAATTTATGGCATTTACATACTTAAAAAATCTTTATGTATCGCATCCATGGGCGTGAGGCTCTAAGCCCTGAGGCTGTTCACTGAGGTGAAAGGGGAGTACATATGCCCACACATTGTTTCGCACTGCGACTTTCAATCGATTTTTGGAGATTAATTTCTTATTTAAACTACTTTTGTAACCTTTGTAGAGAGTTACAATGTTGTGCGGGTATTTAATCTTTGATGTGCCGAAGATTCCCGTTTCAATTACTTACCCTGCACTCTTTAATAATTAACTAATTTATTAAAAGGGTTGTGTGTATGTAGTCAAAGTGATTTTCATGGCTCTTCATAAAGCATAGATCACCCTTTCTGGGTGGAAAATGGGTGGAAAAGGTTGCCTGAGTGAAAACTAAAATGTTTGGCTTCAAGCGCATTTTCAAAGCTCTAAATAACAAGAAAATGAATAACTGTTTCAACGATTTTTAGAGTGATTGCAATCTTTTGCAATTCTTCCAATTGACTATAAATTAATTTTAGGATGTGTATATTCGGGACAAAAGGTAAAAGTGGTCGAATTTATAATCAGTTAAAATAAAATGGCGATTATTATGATGTCATTTGAGATTATTATACTTATTTATCACAGACAACCCTGCAATGGGGAATTAACCCGTCATAGAACATTAAATAAAAGAAGAATCGAATTTGAACTTGACTGTTGATGAGGAATGTGTAAATTTGATGCTGTATTTTGAAAATGTAGTTATGAGTTCATGTTCATTCACAAATTGTTTAAGTAAACGGGCGGGAAATTGATGTCTTAGTAATGTTTAAAAATGAGAAAAGACATTTTTTGAGGGGTGCGAAGCCGGCCTTACTCAATAGTTGACTGTAACCCATGAGTTCTTATTTGTACGCAAAATAATTAAGTCTCAAATGCGGAACACAGCGAAGCCGGCTGATCAGATATCCTAAATCGGATTAGTAATAAATTACGGCTAACAATATTGGAGCACATTTTACATTCGATTCAAATATTTGCAATTATATTGAAATGCTAATGCGAAGGGTGCAAATGGGTAGCGAGCCCCTCTAAGTGTCTGTGGACTATTTACACATGCCAATAAATGTTGGCACAGGCGAATTTTCGAGCATTTGGCGGCGTTTTGCATATTCTTATATATTCGTTTTGCCGTTTACGAGAGCATTATAATGGAATGGAATCCACTTGAAAATAGAGCAATATCCACTTGCATATGTCGCGCGGACATTTTAAGAATGAGTCGACGCCATAAATATTATTGACGGGAGGGGTGGGACGGGGCGGTATCGCCGCGCCCCCTCCCATACGCCATGCCGCCCATTCGAGGACACAGACTATGATTGCGGCAAGCGGATGTAAAACCTTGGCAATGACAGTTTCGGGGCCCGTCTGTTATGCAAATGTTGGCGTATGCCTCTGTCTGTACTCGTAGTTTGTCCGACTGTGTATCTGTGTATGTGTGTGTGTGTGTGTGTGTATCGACGCCTGTTTATATGCAAATCTTTTATTTCGGTCTCGGCTGGCTGGGCCTGGCTTCTTTTTATTTTGGCTGCAGCGCCGCCTGTTTTATTTCTTGCATTAAATTAACATCAATAAAATGTGTCGTTTGTATTTTTTAAGTGTGTCCCGATGTCCTGCGTCCTGTCGCTGTGTCTGCCCCCATCCCCGCAGCGGTCTTCGTCTTCTGCTGCACTTGTCTGCCCATAATTCGCAGCTAATGCCAACATGTGCTGTGATTTGTCCACGGAGAACATTTGCGCCGCGGGTGTACTTTCCATATAACAATCCGTATGCCATATTCTCCCTACAGCGAAATCATCTATTAATTTTACTTTCAAGACATTTGCATAAACCAGTTGCCTGAGGCCAGCTGGCAAACCTTTTGCATGGATTGGTTAAGAATAAAGGAGAGAGTGTTAAATTTGGAAAGATTTCGCAATAGATGTCGATGTGCTACAAATATTATATTCTTAATCCATTAGATATGGGTGTACTTCAGTCTTCGTAATCTTTTCAGTAATGGAATCAATTTTTTGATATTATATAGCTAATATAGTTTTGATTTGTGTGTACTATATAGCAAACTTGTCTCTTTGAGGTAGCAGAACGTATTCAGAGCTAGATCGACTTAGTTTGACTTTCTGCTCAAAACAATATATCAAGAATAGGGTCGAACCTGCCTGCTTCTGTCTTTTTCAAACATTCGCCTTTTTACACATTTTATGTGGCTACACGGTATACAATTTAAAAAAAAAAGGGAGAACACTAAAATTAATCTTTTTCTTAGTTTTAAGGCGTTTCTTATATATTGACTTTCTGCTGATGGCCTGCTTTTCAAATTCTTTCATATCTAAAAGATCTAAAAAGATTAAAAGAAAGCAAAGTAATAATAATGGAATACACTTACAATCTAGTCAGACAATGGAATCTATTCCAGTACGAAGGCACGACGTCTAAGAACCTATTTACTGACTATCCATTGTTGGTCCTTTATATTACGGCTGGTGTCCTCATATTTCTAGCCTGCTGTTCTCGTTGTGGTATGTTAATTTGGTTTTCACTGATTGTTCGTGGTTCAGCCGAAGGTGACTTGGAGTAACAAACATATTCCCCAACCAGAAGTTTTCAATCTGCTGCAATTAAATACCGAAATTATCTGTTATTTAAAATTGAAGCTCATATCACGAAAAAAAAAGTGTTCTTTGCATTTCTTATCGGACCCATACAGAGTGTATTTCGATTCAGAGTGTATTATGCAATTTTTCAGATATCAGTAAAACAGTAAAACATGGAAAGATGCATATTTGACAGGTTCGTTCATTGTTGTTCAGGATAACGAGTCGGTCGGTTCGGTTTACTCTATATTATAGATACCATAAAACAGCTCCGACAAAAACGAGAATATATACCAAGCTTCGTAGAGCTATGTCAAAACTTACGGATCTCGTTATATACAAACATTTGGTTGTTATATTTAAGCCATAAACATTTCACAAGAAACGTATAAGAAGAAGATATTCAAGAATGAATTTCCCATAGTGTAGGGCAAACAGACGAAAAACGACGTACGTGCTTGTACGTGTGTGTTTATTTATATATATATATATGTGCTTTTTGGTATATACATATGTATAGCAGGAAGTTGTGGTTACAAAGTATTTCCCAGCCGGGTACTCGCGATTACTCTTACTAATCTTTAACAAGAGCTTATCAATATATATTTGTTTAATTCAAACTTAACATAGAAGGGATAATAGTTAAATAAAAATTAAATTCTTCAAAAATGTTGAAGTTGTCGCAGAATTCACTGCATACTCAGGCGAGAGAGAGGGCGGCTTTCGGAGGGCGTGGTAGACGGCGAACAAACAAATAAACATGGCCATGCAATATTAATATTTATGCACAAATATTGAAAGTAAGGCTGCATACAAGAGACAACAGAAAGGGCAAGTAATGGCAGCGAGGGATGGGGACGTTCCTGAGGGCGATTCGGAAATACTCGTATATCTAAGTGAAATGCTAAAAGATTGATGACTTGGCGTCTTTGTGTATGTTGGCTGGACGCTCGACCATTGCGTGAGTGCCCCTGTGTGTGTGTGCGTGTGTGTGTGTGTGTTTCACTTTTATAAGAATTTATGGCAATGGATGTTCAGGCATCGCTGCGTATACGCAATATTTTTATTTATGTATTATGAATCAATGCGTGTAGCGTGCAAAAGCAGCGTGCAAAGGGCCTGGCTATGAGTTTCGGGTAGTCAGCGTGTCAGGTCGGCATAAAAAAGTATATTTATATATATGTATCTACAAGATGCACACTAAAACAAAAGGATAACAATAACTTCTCGGCATGGGCAGGAGGAGGATTCGCAATCTTTACGAAGGGTCTATGGGGGCGGATTAGTGTGCAGGGCGTTGGATTTCTGCTTATAAATAAGCTCACTTACGGTAACGAATAGAGCGCACATAAAAATTGCATGAAAATGAAAGACACCCACTCGAGTGCGGACCACAGTCGCACCCGGAACACGACAATCATCCTGCAGTGGCCCACAACTGGGCCAAAAAGGCCGTACCGGATGCTTTGTTTTTTGTTTGTTTTTTGTACGTAAAAAATTATACTATTACAATCAAGTTTACGACTGCTATTTCGCCGCATTGCCTGACTGCCAATGAATATGATGATGGCCGGCCAATGATCAGCAGTTTGGATGATGATGATGATTGTGCTGGCTGTTCTGGCAATAAAATCAGCGAAATCAGCTTTTAGAGCATTTCGTATGCCCTGACATATATGGGCCAAACTTGACCTGAAAATGTTTAATAAAATAGTTTGCATAGGCAGGCTGAAACAATTGACCGCTGTTCAAATTTGGCATAAAAAGTCGTAACTCCCGAGGCAATACTATATCATTCTTTTACAATAACAATGACTCAAGATTTGACTTCATGCGTTAACAGATTTTATGCTATTTTAAAGGTATATTAACCAAACCCAGTTATTCTCCTATTGGAATTAAGATTATAGTTCAGATTAACATAAAATATGAACAATCAACGATTTTTGTAGTTTTCACCAGAATATTGTCATTTATAAGCTAGGATCTTTAATATTCGATATCTGAAGGAAATCTGCTCTTATCCTCATACTCACGCGGATATAATAAAAGCCATGCGTTAGATTTCGGTGTTTCGAACTCAATATATTGACAATATTTGCGACTTAGGCAAAAGCACACAATCTTTTACCATGTCTTGTTTCAGTATGTGTCTGAGTTCCTGAGTTTCCACTTTTCTTTTAATTTTTTACCCAAATCGCGGGAGTTTTTCCAATTTTGGCATTAGAGCTCTGATTTTGAGTTGCTGATACAGTACAATTACTAAAAGTCAGTGGCAAACCTTCTAAAATTTTTACCATGTCCACATAAGATATATACCTTGCTTATGAGCACCTCTCAGTATCATTCATTATTATCAAACACAGTACTTATTTGACTTCTCACACCCAACGGCTTGTTTTTACGGGTCATAATCGTTACAGATCAATGATAAAACCTTTTACCTTCTTGACATTGACATATCTTGACATTGGTGATACCCAGATTTTCTTTATGTGTACAGTTGGTTCTTTTTCTTCCCAGACAATCCCATGCTCTTCAGCTGCCAACGTTTACTTACCATACCATTTCCACATTTATTATTTTTATTTACCGAACAACATTTCATGTTTCTCTTATGCATTCGCTTATTGCCTGAAGCAAGCCCCACCTCACAGCCTAACTCACCCTCTACTCACCACACCAACAAAACTAGCACCGCCACAACAACAACGCCAATTTTGTGGGCTGCACTCACATATTTTTCTTCCCCTCAACCCTCTGCAGCAAGTGCACAGGCTAAAAAGGTTGCCAACAACAACAAGTTAACTTTGAGAATCGACAAGCGGCGCTTTTGACTGCCGCTCAGCTTTTTTTTTTCCTCTTCACGTCCCTCTTGCGCGCACTAGTGAGTGCTTTTTTTCGTGAGCTTTGAGCCACTTTTTTTCGCCACAAAAGTTTGCACTTTGACAGGCAGCCACGTGTATGACTATGTTGTGAGTGGTGAGTGCTTATGTGTGCCTGTGTGGGTCTGCGTGCGTGTGAGTGTGTGAGTTGAATGCGCATTCGTTGTCGCTTTGCCCGACATTCCCGTTGCCAGCTGGGATTGAATGCGGCTGCCGAGCTGCCAATAGCAACGCTTTTACTCGACTTGTCCAACAAACGTCGCTAATTCCTCTAAAAGTGGGCAAATGCTGCGATTAAAACGATGTCACAATGTTTTTGCTTCTGTTTTGGCCATGGTGCGCTCTTATTCTTATACCCTTACAAGGGGTATTATAATTTTGTCAAGAAATGTGCAAAGCATAGGCGTCGAAGTCCACGATATAAAGTATATGTACTTCTGATCAGTATCAACAGCCGAGACGCAGTCATGTTCGATAACGCCATGAAATTTTTACTTCGTCATTTTAGATCGTGACCCTGTATCATATAACTGCTATACGAACTATTACAAGTTTCACTATAAGCAGACCTTATCACTTATTACGTGTGCTCGTTGGCTCAATCTGACGGTTCCTATTACAGGATTTATTTAAGTGCCAATTTGTAACAATTAAAGACACTAAGGTTGAACGGACATACTGGAAGACGGACATGGCTAGATCGAATCCACTTGTGAAGCTGACCAAGAATATGCGATGCTTCCTTCTGCCTTTTATATGCATTTACACAAAACCATTCTACCCTTTCACCATTAAAAAAGGTATTCTCAAAAGTTAAAATAAAAAGATTTTTTTCTAACTATATGAGCGGAAAATAACTAATGGTTACAATAAAATAAAATTAAGTTAGAGATAAAAAAGGTGAAAAGGGAGAAAAGGGGGATTAAAGAAATAAAATTCCTAGAGTAACAGGCGGAAAGGAATATAGGACACAGAGAGAGAGAGGGAGAGGGTATTAAATAAAAATTACTTGAAAATACATTATATAAACAGGAAGAAATAATGCATGAGGGTAGTTTTTTTTGCCTGTCTGTCTAAGCTATGAGTCTACTTATAGAGAGTTCATCTGTTAATCTGTCGTGCATGTCTTCCTATAGAAATGCGGGGCGATAGAACAGAAAATTGCTAACAACCTAAAAGAATCTATGCTGACAACAATCAACTTTCTTAAGAAGACAACATAGTAAGATTAAACAGAAGCATTCAGGAGTACGTTGCCAGTCAAAGATTGGGATCTCAGTAAGGCCAATTGGTTATTCGTATACTGTGAACACGAGATACATGAGCAATATTCCAGAATAGGGCTTACAAGTGAGATGTCCACAAGTAATGCGATAAAGCATTCGTTTAATGCCTTAGACCAGTGCATAATAAATCCAAGTACACCTTAGCTCCATTACAAATAATATAGATATAAATGTAGATTTAAGGTATATATAAGGATTGCATATATAAATATTCATACTTAAATGGATAATCACAATTAAAATTGTTTTTATTACTGAATATGCCATTTTTAAGCGAGCATTTTGGATAATTTTTAAAAATTTCTCATTTATCCATTAAGCAGCTGCTCTGGGTTGCCGTAATAGCACAAATACAATCATTACAATCAGAAATCCTCTTTCCACAAGGTAAACACACACACACTCACACACACGCGCACACAGCCTCACACGGGCAGCATAATGCACACACACGTGCGAACACTTGAAAATCTTTCAGCTCATATGAATATTTTAAAACTCGCTCGGAACTTATTCAAATTATGATAATGACGGGAACGGCGAGTGCTTTGCAAATGTGTGCTGGAGAGGGTTGGGCTTCTCACTCCCTTCTCCTCTCTCCTCTCTCCTCCTGTGAGTGTGTGAGTTGAGCGCTAACGAGCGGAGGTACTCGTCGACCCAGGCACAAGTCCCAGCTCACAATTCCCATCTAGTTCCCGTAATGCATTTCATTAATTTGTATACAATTTTTTGCGATTCGTCAGAGAAATGGTTCGTGGGCGTGTATGTGTTTTTGAGCACTCCCGTGAGTGGATCGCCAGCCATCATTAGAACTCACTTCATGACAAACCCCCCTCGAGAAGGAGTTGAGAGTGTACTTGACTTTGAGCTTCTTAATTTCTGCTCTGAGTAGACTCTTGGGACACTTGCGCAAGGCACATGCTGACATTTTGCTAAAGCGTCGCGCAAATAGAGAAACAAACTCAAAATTTAAAAGAAATCAATTGGTCGGTCTTGTTGTGTGTTCCGTTTCCTATTAGACGTCGCTGCCTCAGACTTACAGTTTTAGAGTCATCAGAAACATGTTAAAAAACGTTATTTTCTATATATTTACAGCTTTTTTATACTGTGAGCAGATTACTTGTACACTATCGTCTACATATTACTTAAATAAATCAAATGTGGGCATCTTCTATATCATCAAATAGATATAATCTTAATCAGAGTCATCAGATGGTCGGTTAAGTTGGTTCATCATTGAAAATCCTTTTCGGGTCAGACTTTTAAAATAGATAAGAAGCTTTTTACCATTTTTGATTAAAGAAAACGCAAAGACGTTGTTTAAAAAAGAACTATGCTGATTTTCATACAACTGACAAATTTCTCTATTTATAAGGGATATGGTAAAAATTATTTAGATACGTCAACACATTCCGGAAATCTCACCTTCCTTCGGGAAAAATGGGTTCGTTTTTAAAACAAGTGTTCATTCAATCGATTTCGAACTTGTTTTCAAAGCAATATGTAAAACATGATGTATCTCTTACCGATTTAAGGTAATCCCCCGCAAAGGGAAACTGACGCTTAAACCTTTTAATACTTTGCTCCTTACATATGAAAATCTTATCAGCATCAGCATATTTCATTTAGCTAAAATAGAAACGATAGGTCGAACAATAAATTGTTGTTTGAAAAACTTTTTTGTTTTTCAAGATTCCTCTGACATGCTTAATATATAAAAACGAAGTTTGATCAATATTGGACTACTATATTATAAGCTCAGTTGAAACGAAAGATTCTGTGTGGAACAATTTCTTAAAAAATGTAGGAAACAAACTCAGCTGTAACACAACCCTTGACATATCTTCGGCGTGACGATGAAAGACCTTTCTTGTTTGTCTTTAAGTCCGATCTGCTCCGAACTAATTTTAAAAACTATGAAGTAATTTTAAGGAAAAACAATAATATATGCTACTGTATATGAACATGTTTCTTTAAATGGGTTGTTCTAGAGTAAAAAGTGTGCTTTGTGTTTAAAATATTTGTTATTCGAAAAGAAACGTTTCAAATTGTTGCAGAAACACACTGATTTGAAATGAGTGCTATGAGGCAGTTTGTCTTTAGACCAACAACAACAACAACAACAACAACAACAACAACAACTGAATGCCCCGAGCAGAGAGCAGCGCGTGCAATTGAAACTGGAACAATCATATTAATCGTTCTTACAAGCTTATGCGCTTTCTTTGGCCTGTGCTGCTTGCCATTCCTGGTTGGGATTTGCTGTGGCCTGGGCTTGTGTGGCACAGAACGTGCCTACAATTATGGCTAATGCTTTTGAGCTGAGTAAGTGAATACTCATGCATGCAAGGAAGTCTTCATTAATCCACGCTCACTTACAGATCACTGAACACGAATGTTATATTCAATATATAATGTTTGACATACCTTTTTTCGGATCTGTTGCGACTGCGTGTATTAAATCAGAAAATCGAAATCAGTAGTAGATATAGTTGGCCGTATTTATAGTTATATTTGATTCCTTCTTGCATCGTACAACTAATTTTTAATCAAAAATTAAACGTATTTCTCATAGTGAAAATGGCGCTCGTATTGTCAAAATTTTTTCTGTGGCCAATTTGGATGATTATCAGTATCTTCATGTGCGCATTCTGCTGCTTATGTCTTCCTGTCATTTGTATAGCTTTGATTTGCTATAGATCATGTAACCGAGAACGTTACTAAATATAAAAAAATAACAAGTATTTCCTTATTAAGTATATACATTTTTCATCGCGTTCCCGCCTGTGAGTTGCGGTATTTTTAAATAGCTTTAAATTCAATCCACGGTGAAACCGAAACGTAAACTTTCGATCATTAAACCTTTGACCCGTTTTTTTCATCGGATTACCCAAAAGCGTATTAAATAAATTTTAACAAGTATCTCTGAAAATGAGATTAAAGCCACTCCGATCTAAACAAAAAAGTACCAATTTGGTGGAATTTCCAAAATCGCTGAAACAAGTATTATGTAGGGACTTAAAAGTAAGTTTAAGGCTGATCGGACGAAACTTAAAGCTTCCTCCAAACAATCTGACCCGCATTTTTCATCAAGTAGGCTTCAACTTAGAGAAATCGAACAAAACGTAAAACTACGCCTAAAAATGCTTTGAATCGCTTTTGCCACAGAGGAGGCTTGCATTCTGCGTAATAATTTTTCATAAAGATCTTAGGTGCGAAAGCCAGCTATCAACTCTTTGACCTCCATTGATATCAAGATGGTATGGATTTTAACAAAATTGTGTAACAAAACTTAAATGAATTTGTACAAAGATCTTTGAAAATGAGTTTGAGGCCGATCGAAAGGTAAACAGAAAAGTGTCATACAAACATTTTTCGCGATTTTCCCACACTTGCAGGTGGAATTTCCCACGTCACATCCTAGCTCTTATGGCTGGGGTGTGCGTTCTTCACCAATATATAGAGATTAATAAAATATTTTTATATTATATACATTAAATGTTTTGATCATATTTGATAATTAAGATCAAAGTATATTGTGGCATATTTCTGAGCGCCATTGTGTGTGAAATGTGATAAAAAGAGTTCGTTGATATCCTTGAAGGCGGAAAGTAAGCCCAGACAGATACCCGAACAGAGCGACAGCAAATGTCGTAAATGCACTCAGCACTTTGTCAGCTCTCAGACAGATAATGCAGTTGCCATTTTTCTTTGGCCAGTTGCGTCTTCTTCTTCGCCGCCCTGCAGGTCGCCCGAGTGACTGCATTCCACAAGAGCAAGAGTTTTACATCTTCTTGGGGCTGTCTGCATTTTTCGGTGCCATAAAAAGTATCACTTTACTTCACAGGCTGCCATGTTGATGTTTTCTTGTGGCATTCTTGTTGTTTTGTCTAAATTTCGATGCTTCCATATTCAGTTTTATAATTTTTCCTCAAGTTTTGTGTGCTGCATGAAAAAGTTTTCATTGCCATAGGAAAAAGTTTGTTTTTTTCTTATATTCCCTGCCCGAGTTTTCTGAGTGCACGTGCACTTAGACTCTGTGGATTCGCAGTTGAAGAATATGCATCCTAAGTAACTTATACGTACAAGTTTGTTTTAGGTGAATATTCAAGTAATTCTACTAATTTGTCACGTCCAGACAATCCCTTGGACTTCTGACATATTTATTTGGATAATAATAAATGCATTAACTATCAAAGTAGTTGGCTAAGTGATCGATAGCCTGTGCTAGGAATAGGTTAAACATTTCTTGTCATATTTACGATAATACTTACATAAGAATGTTTTCAAACCAAAAAGGGCAATTGATTGTGTTTTATAGAAACCCGGGATATCTAATTCTTATTTCTAGAAATAAATTAAGTTTTATGTGAAAACTGTGTAAATATTCAGTTGGATTATCTCGCCAGCCAAGTAACAAACTCTCGGAACTTTTCCAGTTTCCTTTGACCGCCGCGTGATATAACGCGTTTCCATCTCAGCTCCAGGCCCAAACGTTCCTCCTGGTCCAGCGTGTCCATGTACTTTTTGAGCTTCTTGCCAAAGGATTTGAGTAATTGGGTGGATCGCATCTGAATCGTGCGCTTCCATCTATCAAAGCCAGTGCGCTGCAGACACATGGCAATTAATTGGATCTCAATGCTCGACGTCTTCTCGGCGACATCTGCATCCAGATACACGCCCACAATGTTATAGAAGGACTGCAGCGCTTCCTTTGTGTGGTTGTTGTCAATGGCAAGGAACGCCTCGAAGTTGCTCAGATAGCCGAGTATTATGGGGTTCTGTGAGTCCAGAACGAGCAGATCATCGACCACACTATCTACCAGCTCTGTGGCCTGAACCATGGCATGCTTCGTAATGGCAGCCAAATTGTGCTCCGCCTGGGCCGTCAAGCGGCTGCGACTGAGATCTCCGTAGCAGGCTACCAGGTTGAGCTGAAGCAGCAGCAGTTGTCAAGTGAGAAAGCCTTCTCTTACACTCAAATTGATTGGAAACTTACCGGCGATAGCAATACCAGTAGCCAGCCGCAGTGGACGAGTTGACTCTGCGCATTCATTCTGACAGCTTGACAGTCGGTTGTCTACTAAACGAGTCGCGTCTCAGATTTCCAAAAAAAACAAAAAAAAAAGAAACAAGCGAAGCAACTTGGACTGATAGCGTTATCAGGCGCATTTTCGCTTAGGGATTGCCTACATTTTGACATAACGATGATATACGATTGCGAGCATGATATGACACACGCCGCCCATGACGAGTTCATTTTGCCAACTCTGCGCGGGCGAAGATATTTTCAATTGATAAGCGTTAATGTGAATGTAAAAGGTATTTATTGAAGTTCGTTTGATTTGAATATTCAAATTTGATAGTTAAGTAAAACGATTAAATTGTTAACAGAAAAGTCGATTCCCCGGCCGGCAATGGCAGGTTTACGATATTGTATTCTGATCTTAGTCACATAATAATCAATTTTATTTGTATCTTTTATCTGCACATAGAGCAATTTTGATATCTTTTTACCACCACTTTCAAATTGAAGCTTCAGATTAAAGAGCTTTGTTTTCTATTTTATAAATAAAATAGCTTATGATCGATCGTTTTTAGAGTGATTTAATCGGGCGGCTACAACGTGGATACATATGTATATAAGGACTGCTATCCCGAAAATAATGTGTGATTCGTTATGCAATTCGAACCAGCTCCCTGCCTTTATGAACCTTATATTTTCAAAATTGTAATAAGACATTTAATCTTTAAATTTTTATGACCCGTTTTACTGATCCTACTGAACTCCTACTGGTTAAATGTATGGTTCGCTTCGGCTTCAGTTCGGATATTTTAGGAGGCAATTAGTTTAGTTATAAGTCCGATTAAAAATTGGAATATCGGAAAACTTAAAGACTAATTTGCAAATATACAAAGAGGCAGACGGAGTCTGGTATCAGCTTGTAAAAAATTTGCTGCATTAAACGTTTCGTGAATAAATTTTAAAGTACACAAAATAAAATTGTTGGCTTGTGAATAGAGCAATATTATTTGGGCACCGGAAAAATGGGATCAACATAAGAAGCTGAGCTGACCACTTTAACTGGCAGCATGAAAAATTGATGTGCCGCATCTAATCCAAATAGGTCGGGAAATGAAGATGAGGCACTCAAATGCCGCAGCAAAAAACAAAAACTACTCTAATGGATAAGCGGAAGTGGTTGCGGGTGCGGATAAAATTAATAATAGCGAAATAAAAGTTCTCTTCCAGCTGAAATTGCCTTTCGGTTGGATGTGGAGCTATTGTCCCCGCCTTGGACCCGGCCGCCGGCAAATGGCATGATGTGTGATAGACGTCGTATGTGGGTCAGTGGTATATGATGAAACTTGGCGGCATCATCATCAACTTCGGAAACAGGGGATAAAATGGGAACTACTCGCTCTTGCGCTGTCTGTCTTTCAATGGCTGCAATTCAGAGTTTTGAGAGCTGCCAAATCCCAACACTCGCCAGCCAACGGAATTGCGCGCATTTGGCTGCAATTTAAACTTTGATAAGCCGAGCTAACTGCGATAGTGCTGGCAGCCAGAAAAATAAAACCAACAATCATCTAGCTATAGAAACTGGCTGTTCATTGCGAATTTCAATTGATGACTCTGTATACCCTGTTCCATTTGAAATGAGCTAAGTAAACAAATGAGTTAAGTAAACTTTTCATTTTTGAATTTAACACGTATAAAAACACATTTCCACAAAACCATTTGATCTGTTTTAAAGGTAAAGAAATTTAACTTAAATTTATAACATATTCGCAGTAGTTAACCTTTTTAAACAAACCTATCCTTAAAGCTTAGCACAATTATGTTTTTCTTTTTGCCTTCCTTTTATACACCATATACAGCATATAATCGGTATATAATCAAACATTTACTACTAAACAATTACGACCGAAGGGATTTATACACACACACACACATACACACACACATGTTTGCATTTTTAATCGCATGCAGAACTCTCAGTATTCCCACATCAGATTTATTCCAGAAATATATGGCTAAGCAATACGCAACTCTGGCCCAGTCAGCCCCACCAGAGGAAAACCAGAGCTGAGGCAGAGGACGGCGGGGATGGTAAGGGGAAAACACAAGTGTTGTTGGCCCACACCTAAGCATGTATTCAATGCCACCCTTGGAGCCAGCCTGCGCTTGCATGCGAATTTCAATAACTTATATTCGTAACCCTTCCGCCAACTGACACTGAATATCAAATATGAGCCAAGGCGCAGACGAAGTACAAAAATTATTTGCATACTTTCTGGGGAGGCTTGGCACAAAAAACAAAAACAAAATGGAAAAGAAAACTCTAACGAAACAAAGGCAACAAAAAACATGCTGAAACGTTGTCTTTCAAGTGCCGAAAATAAAATGCTCTTCTACATATATTATATCAAATTGAAGATTATATAGTTCGAATATTTGGCACAAAACAATGCATCTACTACATTTTAGCTGATTATTAGTCTCAAAAATATGAAGAGTACAACAAATTTCGACAATAGTTTAATAACTCATATTTCGATCGATTACCACAGCAAGATCAAGCAAAGATCAAGAACTTAACTTGCTATCGATAGTTTTCTTGCCTATATGGTAAAGAGGCCTGATTTCGCCTACTAAGATCTATAAATTAATTCCACAAAATAAAGTGGATATTAATTTGCATTGAACACTTCTTTATATATACTCGGCTCGTCGTGCTGATTAATCATATAAGTACTCATTGTGTGGGAAATGCCTCCATCTCACGTTCCGTGGCAAAATTAAAATACCCTGTGCAAGGGTATTGCAAGCAGTTGGAGCCACATGTGGCGCTCTTTTGGTTTAGTGTGAAAAAAGCTAAAAACAAGCCGTTACACGCTTCCGGGTGGGTGCAAACAGAACAGTCGCCCCTCCTGCTTGGCTGTTGTGTGGCACCAACCACAGCACGCAAACGAAACGAGTTTATTTATTGCATTTGCAAATTTTACACAACATTTTGCAGTCGATGCTTTCCCTTCTCTGAAAGGTGTAACACGAGTTTATCGCTGAAAAATATTTACCCCACCTCGAACAGAAATTGATTCGGCTTATGTATGTGGAAGGCAAACTTTGCGAGGCATTTGTAACACGAAGCGGCAAGTTCAATGAAGCCAAAGGTGTTTGCTTGTTACGCTCCTCCGACTCCCAAATTTACAGCTTGGTGTTGGTGATTGGCATTGGGTTCAGGGTTTGAGGGAATGAACCGTTTGCCAAGCAGCCAAATTGATGTGCAAATATTTCCATAAATTTATTTTCTGTAGGGCCAAGTTTTGGGTGTCATGTTTGAAACACACACAAAAAATTTGCACAACTTATTTGAGCAACCCGCCAGGAAGACAAAAACTGTGAGTACAGCTTTCTGTTGCCGTCAAAAGTTTGAAATTTGATTTTTTGCGGTTCTCAGAAATGATGTGAACAATTCTACAAATCATTTTTTTTATATTCTTATACACTTGCTGGGCTATAAATAAAAATGAAAATCAATGGTGTGATTTTGTAGAAGGAGCAAGACAATAAACCTATAAAAAAGCATAAATGGAATAAATATAATTTTTAAAATTGAAATCAAATATAGTAACAATGGAGAATGAAATTATTGTTGAACCCATCCTTCAAGGAGACATCCTTCGTCAGTCACTAATCTGATCGAAAAATGTTGTTGTCTGTCTGCTTTGAGGCGTTTTTAATTTTTTTTCGCAAGCTATTGATTTTTATAAAATACCTGTTTAAACACACTACAATACGTCTTATAAAAAAGAGAAGTTCACAACCCAAACCAAAATAAGACAATTGTAGATGAACAACAAAACTTACCCTTCATTTGAATCGAACCAAGTATTTCTCGCTTTGCAGTCGGGTGCGTTTGCAGCGCGCCATCACAAAATCGTTCATTCGGTCAGCATTTGCCACCACGAGCATCAAATACATTCGTAACAATCTATACCAAGTTGCTTGCTGTGTCGTCGTTGGTAGTATGTTGGACGCTGATACCGAATGTGTGACGTGTTCGATTCATGGGGCGAACAACAAGTTTGATAAATTTTTAATTCATTTGTTGTTAGGATGCTTATTTACTTACCGACTTTAATTTTTCCGTAAACAGGCTCTTATATGTTTTCAGGAAGTATAATATAACTTTGTATTTCTCTCTCAATGATTTATGATTCTCTTTTTCAGAAACTGAAAATGTTTAGTACCCTAAAATTAACAACAATTTTAGTGTTACGTTTTAAAAAACATTATAAATTTTTATATATTTATATTTTTATTAAATTGCAGTTACTTTTGCGCAAGAATTTATCAAATATAAATTGTATAAACACACAAATTACTTCGTTGCTGAAAAAATAACAAAAAAAACAACTTTGTACACGTTTACCTCAGATGGGACTCGAACCCACAATCCTCGGCTTAGGAGGCCGATGCCTTATCCATTAGGCCACTGAGGCGGTGAACACTGTGTGAGCTAAGAGCATATATAAGAGCAAAGCACCAAGGAAACTGCTTCAACAGTTGATGCATGTATATATTTAGATTAAATGAAATTCCGTTTTAGCCTCACAATACGTGTAGAACAGCTGTTTTATAGCAAACACATTATTTACCTACGCTTATTTCAATAATTGTTTGGCTCAGATGCGGGCCAACAGCTGGGCATACACTCGGCGGCACTGAGTGAGACGTTGAAGGTCTTTGGGAAATGTTTACCTTTTGGCAAAGCAAATGGCTCAAATAATGCGGCCATGTGTATGTGCATATATCATATGATAAATCAACGTCACTTAACGCTCATTGGTAATTCACTTTGAGAACTACCTAGACCAAAATGTCAACGCCAACAGTTTGCGGCCGAATCAGTCAGCCAAGAGCAGTGACAGTGAGTGAGAGAGAGAGAGAGAGACAGAAGGTAAGAGGGAAGGGACAGAGAGTAAGAGTTGCGCTACACACGAAGACATATCATTTATATCAATTTAAATAACGACCTTTCAATGCTTCGAAGAGCAAAGCAC